TAATATTGGTTGGGCAGATGATGTGGGACTGAAGTAGCATGCTCACATTGAATCTGCTTTGCTGGGAGATCGAATGGAACCAGCGACCTGGAGGAGTCCAGCATGCCAACTGTTACACCGCAGACACGTCTTCAGTGTTTGATGAGGGGCGGCGCTTGACTCGATGTGAATACAAATTAACCTTCAAAGTTCTGCTCGACAGAATTACTTCAAACTCACCATGACTTTGGTGTTGTGTGTGTGTGTGTGACATCCTGCCGGCGGGCGTTCGACACTTCACGTGGCCTTAAGGTGCACATGGCCTGGCACAAGCATCGTGGTGACGTCACCGCCACTTAGTGGCGAATGGCTGTTGTTGTTGTGTGTGTGCGCGTGTGTGTGAAACACCTGCCTGGGCATTTTGTACCATCGGGCACTCCACCCCCACAACTCCCAATCGGTGATGAGGCAGTTGTGGAGAGAGTGGAGAGTTTCCCATACCTGGGCAGTGTGCTCATGACCGGCTCTGGTTTCACAGCAGAGGTCTCACTCCAAATCAGTCGAGCGGCATTATCTTTTCGTTGGTTGTGTAACGCTGATGTTCCATTGAACGGGTCCACGTTTCACAAGTGTAATGACAGGGTTATGTTGACATGACAAAGTGACACCAGCTGGCCTGGGAAGAGTTTCACGGTTACAGCCACAGAGGTAACAGCCAATCGGGGAAGGAGGCGTATCTGGGGCAAAGGTAACAGGAGGGGCTAGCTGAGATGCTCCGGGAACCTGCTGGAACGTTCCACGAGAGGGCGTGGCCGGAGGCGGGGCTTAGCCTGGGGGGATATAAGGAGGAGCGGACGCGTGGTTCGGGGCGGGTGAGGGGTCCTGGGTCCTGGCTGTGTCGCTGTTCACCGACATCGCTCTCCATCGTCCGGCCACGTGGAAGATCTCCTGCGTTGGTTCCATCGCCGTCATCGTCACGCCGCCAGCCAGCGGCGGAGACGAGTGAGGGCGAGGGGACCTCGCCGAGTGATCGGCTGTGTGTGTAGCCAGTGGAGGTGTTATTGCCTCGAGTTGTATTCAGTGAAGAGGAAGAACCAGTGCTGGCCTGTGTTGTGCTCAGTGTGAGAAATAAAGAAGTACCCTCTATACGATGTGTCGTGGAAGTCGCTCATTACACAAGCAGAGAGAAGGGAGGGGGCATGACCGTGGCCGAGAAGACCCGAAGCTTCCACAAGGATTGATAGACCAGGCAGGTTCCACGCGGCAGCGTTACAAAGGCGAATAAAATGCCACCCAACTGATTCAGAGCGAGATTTCCGCTTTCAAATGCCTGAGTCCATGGCTCCATCTCGGGAGTGGCCGTTCCTCTGGGACACGTTTCAGAATGGATGAAGACTCTCAAACAATCTGGTGGCCAATGGTGAACAAAAAATAACCTTCAACCGTTGCTGGCTTATCTTTGCTGATGTGGCACTTTCAGTTGGAGCAACAGGAAAACAAAGTTGTACATCCTGAAGAGGCGAACAGACGCGGCGTTTTATTCATAAAGAAATTAGTAGACATTTCAATTGTGTGAAACCAACTATAACCAAAGGGCGGTGAACGCTCCAAATCAACCGTCACGTGACACAAACGTTGAGATTATTTCTGCGAGAATGAAGGAATGGAAATGCTGCGAAATTCAAAGTGTAAATGACACAGGGTGCACGCCGTGAAACAATGGCTAGGAGATGTTGACTACCTCGCCTGGTATACAGGAGGTCGTGGGTTTGATCCCGACTCTGATGATGCCTGCTGCTGCTGTATATTTTGAGTTTGCGTGTCTCTCATCATAGTGGCTAGGAGATGCTGACTACCTCGCGTAGTATACAGGAGTTTGTGGGATCGATCTTCACCCTGACGCCTGCTGCTGTATATTTGGAGTTTGCGTCTCTCTCTCTCTCCGTGCTCAAGTGGATTTTTCTAGGGGTCCTCAGGGTTTTCTCTCCAAAATCAACGTCACGCTTTTAGACTCTTTATTTGGGACCCCGGGGTTCTGCCACAAGGTTCAGTTCAGGGGCTCTCCGACAAAATCGTCCAACGCTGAATTGTCACGTGGCTGCTTGTTACTGCACCCCCCCTCCCCCTTTGCATTTTCCAATTCTCACGACGGATTGAGTTGCAGGTGAGAAAACATTGTGCGCACAAAAATTCCAAATGTTTGTTTATCAAATTCGTTTTTTTTTTTTTAACGAGAATCTTCACTGAAAATGTCAACGCAAAGGCAACGATTCCCCATGCCCCGTGCAGCCTGAACAGACAGTCGGGGTGAGTGCTGCGACTCACGCACCTATAGAGGCCGGCACTGTGGTACCACCCCTGACCGACCGCCTTTGTCTCCCCGGCGGTGATGTTCACCACAGACCCCAGCAGCAGGCACACTCATTTGGGGCAGAGTGGACGTAGGGGAGGCCCAGCACCGCTCCGGGGGGGAGGGGTAAAGAGAGGGGCAGGCTGGGTGGTGGAGGGCTGGCGAAGTGTGTGGGATTGCCCAGCGAGGCAGTCAGCTGTGACCTCTATGACCTGTGACCTCTAAGCGGTGCTGGAAGTGGAGGCTCCCATCCTGCTGCTGCTGCTGCTCCATGAGTGGGTGGGTGAGCGTGTCTCTGTGTGTGAATCTATGGGTCTCTATGGGTGTCTACGGGTCTCTGTGTGAATCTATGGGTCTCTGTGTGTGAATCTATGGGTCTCTGTGTGCGTCTACGGGTCTCTGTGTGAATCTATGGGTCTCTGTGTGTGAATCTATGGGTCTCTGTGTGCGTCTACGGGTCTCTGTGTGAATCTATGGGTCTCTGTGTGTGAATCTATGGGTCTCTGTGTGCGTCTACGGGTCTCTGTGTGCGTCTACGGGTCTCTGTGTGATTCTATGGGTCTCTGTGTGTGAATCTATGGGTCTCTGTGTGAATCTACGGGTCTCTGTGTGCGTCTACGGGTCTCTGTGTGTGAATCTATGGGTCTCTGTGTGAATCTACGGGTCTCTGTGTGCGTCTACGGGTCTCTGTGTGTGAATCTATGGGTCTCTGTGTGTGAATCTATGGGTCTCTGTGTGTGTCTACGGGTCTCGTGTGTGTGAATCTACGGGTCTCTGTGTGAATCTATGGGTCTCTGTGTGTGAATCTATGGGTCTCTGTGTTAATCTATGGGTCTCTATGTGTGAATCTATGGGTCTCTGTGTGCGTCTACAGGTCTCTGTGTGTGAATCTATGGGTCTCTGTGTGTTAATCTATGGGTCTCTGTGTGAATCTACGGGTCTCTGTGTGTGAATCTATGGGTCTCTGTGTGTTAATCTATGGGTCTCTGTGTGCGTCTACGGGTCTCTGTGTGTGAATCTATGGGTCTCTGTGTGCATCTACGGTTCTCTGTGTGAATCTATGGGTCTCTATGAATCTATGGGTCTCTGTGTGAATCTATGGGTCTCTATGAATCTATGGGTCTCTGTGTGAATCTATGGGTCTCTATGAATCTATGGGTCTCTGTGTGAATCTAGGGGTCTCTATGAATCTATGGGTCTCTGTGTGTGTCTACGGGTCTCTGTGTGCGTCTACGGGTCTCTGTGTGAATCTATGGGTCCCTGTGTGTGAATCTATGGGTCTCTGTGTGATTCTATGGGTCTCTGTGTGTGAATCTATGGGTCTCTGTGTGAATCTACGGGTCTCTGTGTGCGTCTACGGGTCTCTGTGTGTGAATCTATGGGTCTCTGTGTGTGAATCTATGGGTCTCTGTGTGTGTCTACGGGTCTCTTGTGTGTGAATCTACGGGTCTCTGTGTGAATCTATGGGTCTCTGTGTGTGAATCTATGGGTCTCTGTGTTAATCTATGGGTCTCTGTGTGTGAATCTATGGGTCTCTGTGTGCGTCTACGGGTCTCTGTGTGTGAATCTATGGGTCTCTGTGTGTTAATCTATGGGTCTCTGTGTGAATTTACGGGTCTCTGTGTGTGAATCTATGGGTCTCTGTGTGTTAATCTATGGGTCTCTGTGTGCATCTACGGGTCTCTGTGTGTGAATCTATGGGTCTCTGTGTGAATCTACGGGTCTCTGTGTGAATCTATGGGTCTCTATGAATCTATGGGTCTCTGTGTGAATCTATGGGTCTCTATGAATCTATGGGTCTCTGTGTGAATCTATGGGTCTCTATGAATCTATGGGTCTCTGTGTGAATCTATGGGTCTCTATAAATCTATGGGTCTCTGTGTGAATCTATGGGTCTCTATGAATCTATGGGTCTCCGTGTGAATCTATGGGTCTCTATGAATCTATGGGTCTCTGTGTGAATCTATGGGTCTCTATGAATCTATGGGTCTCTGTGTGTGAATCTATGGGTCTCTGTGTGAATCTATAGGGTCTCTATGAATCTATGGGTCTCTGTGTGTGAATCTGCCCTCACTAAAGTCTCCTCTACCAGCCTCCCCCTCTCCTGCCTCTGGCTCTCCTGCCAGGCCACTTATGCTCGATGGCCTTCAGCCCCGACATCGTTCGCGCTACGGACGTCTGTCTCGCGAACTCGTCTCTCGGCGCTCCTCTCCCCTCCTCCACGGCCTCCTCGCAAAACCCCTGCCACATTTGTCTCTCTCTCCTGTCTGCCATCGCTCTCGCCTCCGCCTCTCCAAACCGCCCCCCCCCGGCCTGCCTCCCCCCCCCTCTTTCCGCCGCGTCCCTCGCCACGTCCATCGGTCTCAGCATCACCGGCATGACGACCCTCCTGGCTCCCTCTTGCTCCCACCTGGCCCTCTCGTCTGGAGGTTGCCTCTCATGCCCCCCTCTGCCCCCCTGTGCCCCCCTCTCCTGCCCGGCTCTTGCCAGGTTGTCCCGTCTCTCCTCGTCTCTCACGCTCAGAGCTGCTCTCCCTGCAGCTGCTCCCCTCTGGGCGGCTCGGTCTGCACCGTAGCCTCTCCGCTCATCGTCAAGCCTGTTCCAAGTTGGCTCTCTGCCTTGGCCTCTTCTTCCCTCCGCTCCTCTCCCCCCTCTCTCCATGGGAGTTCCTGGCTTGTCGTGCCGGCGATGCAACGCGCACACCTGTACCACCAACACCTGTACCACCAACACCTGTACCACCAACACAACGATCGGCACTATCGCCACACGTTCGTATTTACGTGATCCAACCCAAAAAAACTCAATGATGGATATTTGTTGTGAAAACCTACGTTGAAAACGTAGGTTTTCGCGACCAATATGATCCATATTACAGGTTTTTGTAAACCCTTCACCACGCGACACAGCCAATTAGTAACAGGGTTGGTCACGTAAACAGAACTTGCCAATTCGTTACTAGTACAGCACTAGTCACACACACTGGGTGCGTAGCGAGTGAGGATAGTGAGGGTGGTGAGTGAATGAGTGCAGGTAGCGAGTGAGTGTAGTGAATGCGTGAGGGTAGTGACTGAGTCAGTGAGGTAGCGAGTGAGTGTGAAGAGTGAGAGCGAGAAAATCACTCACGCTGAGTCTTCCTCAACGTTGTTCTGAGGTTCTGGGGAGTCCAGGCAGAGTCCTGATGAGAGAGAGAGATACAGGATTCAACACTCCCTGGCTCACACCATACTCATTTCTCACGCTCGCTCCAAACACAAAGACCCCCCTATAGCCTTAACAGACTGCTGGGGTCAAGTGGCGTTGATAGCGAGTAGCAGTAGCAACCTGGCACTGTGGCACACGAGGGGGTGGGTGGCCAGGGCTAGCGATGTTCACTACACTACACCGCTACGCCAGGTACGCATTTGAGGCTGAGTCGACCTAGGGGAGTCCCAGGACCGGTTCAGATAATCGTCACGTACACACACGTACAGTTTAACACGCGCACACACACAGTTTATTGAACACGTGCACACACACAGTTTAACACGTTCACACACACACAAACAAATCCCCAATGTCTGTGTTCACTTGAATTATTTATTTCAAGTAGAAACTTCAACTGAAAATGTCAATGCAAACACAACTATCCCCCCCCCCCCCATGTAGACTGTACCAGGTTGTAGGGGCAAGTGGTGTTAGTAGCGAGTAGCAGCACCTATGCAGGCATTGCCCTCGGGGGGCAGGGTCAAGGGTCAGGCACGGGGTCAAAGTCAGTAGCAGGGTCAAGGTCACGAACAGGGTAATATTCTTGGTTCTTTCGGTAAAGCCACGTAGAATGGAAATAATAAAATAATGAAAATATTCAACAATAAATAGTCCGAAGTGAGGGTGAAGAAGGGGGGGCGGATGTGGAGGGGGGGGCGGATGTGGGGGAGGAGCCGAAGGTGAGGGGGGAGGGGCAGAAAGATGGCGTCTTTGCCACGTGCATCTGCTAAGGCGTCTCCTCCACTCGCTGCAGTCTTCTCCCAGCTGATCGTCTCCTGCGCTCCAGCAGAGGTCTGACCCCACCACCCTCCTCCTGCTGCTCTCTCTCTCTCTCTGCGCTCTGTCTCCCACGCAGCCGCTGCCGTCTTTGTCTCTCCTTGCTGCTGTGGCTGTGTGTGTGTGTGTGAGCGAACGCCTGAACGGCTAGAGAAGAGATGGAGTGATGTGGAGCTGAGTGGATCAGCCTCTGTGGAGCAGGAGGAGGAGGCTCGTGAAGGACGCTGCTACTACTGGGCAGTTGGAGGTATACTCTTAGGTTTTTTGTCGGTAAAATCACGTAGGTAAAAATAAAAATTAATAATAAAAATAATATTAATAGAAATAACAATATTGCCTCTGATACAGTCTATAACAAAGATACAGTCTATAATGTAGACTGTACACACAGGTACAGTCTATAATGTAGGGTGACTGACTGAGTGGGTGGGTGAGTGGGTAGTGGGTGTGTGAGTGACTGGGTGGGTGAGTGACTGGGTGAGTTGGTGGGTGAGTGCCTGAGTGAGTGGGTGGGAGAGTGAGTGAGTGAGGGGATGAGTGGCTGAGTTGGTGAGTGAGTGACAGTGAGTGGGTGGGTGAGTTGGGTGGGTGGATGAGTGGGTGAGTTGATGGGTGAGTGAGTGGGTGAGTGACTGTTACATGGTTAATAATATATTTCCAATGATTAGTTTGTACCCATCATCACGGTAAAAGATTTAACTACACATATTTGTACCATCTTATTTGACAGGTACTATTCTAATTTACCGAGTGTTGACATCTCCCGCGTTTAACATTCAGATAAGCCCCTCCCCCCCTCCCCCTTGTATTTAAGAGCTTGTCACTTGGAATTTGCCTCACTTGATACAGTCAATTTAGCTGTGACGGTCCCACCTGACGACGGAGACTTGGGTTGCCTCCTAAAAGTCGTGATTTATTATTTTATTTCCATGATAATTTTTTATAATTTATTAATATTTTTACCTACGTGACTTTACCGAAATAACCTAAGAGTATGAATCCTTGCAATCACGAAAGCTTCAAATCTAGAATCAGTTGGAGGCAGTCGCCCTCCAGCAACAACGAAGGGCAGAGGAGCGACGCTCACAACAACGAGCGGAGCGCCGGGCGTTTAAAGCGCAGCGAGTATTCACAGTAGGGGGCACAGTTGTTGCATCGGCCAGCCATCTGTCAGCCAACCCATGGTAGGTGCCTTGGGTTGACTGCCGAATGGCTGTTGTTGTTGTGTGAGCGTGTGGACACAACGCTGAGCGAACTCAACTTACGTTACCAAGGTTAGGTTCCAGAGGTACCGTTTGTAAGTCCAACTTGACTTCTGTCGATCCAAACGTGGTGTATGGCATGTACACCAAACACAGATGCAGATGCCACTGGTTCTTCACGTTCTGCAGATATAGATGCCACTGGTTCTTCACGTTCTGTAAATGTAGATGCCATTGGTTCTTCACGTTCTACAGACGTAGAATTCACTGGTTCTTCACGTTCTGCAGATGTAGATGCCACTGGTTCTTCACGTTCTGTACATGTAGATGCCACTGGTTCTTCACGTTCTGTAGATGTAGATGCCACTGGTTCTTCACGTTATGTAGATGTAGATGCCACTGGTTCTTCACGTTCTGTAAATGTAGATGCCATTGGTTCTTCATGTTCTGTAGATGTAGATGCCACTGGTTCTTCACCTTCTGCAGATGTAGATGCCACTGGTTCTTCACGTTCTGCAGATGTAGATGCCACCAGGGGCGGTTTCTTTATTAGGCCGATTGGGCGACGCACCACCAATCTCATTCAACCACAGAGTCACGCGAGCCGTCACTGTGCCTCTGGATATAGTCCAATCAGCGTCATGCTATGTTCTGTGGAGTACCGCCTCTTTTTGGGCGATTTCCCTCCAGCTGACAATCGCCCCGAGTGGTCCCATAGACTTACATTCAAAGATGTTTTTTTTCGAACGGGGGCGCTGCAATGCATTCTCTATGGCTTCAGGGAGGGCTCGCCCTAACGTGCTTACGTCATCATACGTGCTTACGTCATCATACGTAAGCACGTTTCATCCAACAATATAATTTGTCGCCACCTAGTGGAATCTTTAATAAAAGAAACTTGAGTGGTTTGTTTTAATAGTGAGTATAGAAACAAACAAGATGTATTGTAAGAGTCACTTTATTTTTCATTAATATTAAAGAAGTGAAGTTGCCTTTACATGCTTAAGCTGTTAATTTATCCATTGCATGGGTGGACCTTATCCTTATCAATCATCCAGACATTTGCCCCCCCTGAGAGATTTTGCAGGAGCCGCCACTGGATGCCACTGGTTCTTCACGTTCTGTAGATGTAGATGTCATTGGTTCTTCACGTTCTGTAGATGTAGATGCCATTGGTTCTTCACGTTCTGCAGATGTAGATGCCACTGGCTCTTCACGTTCTGTAAATGTAGATGCCATTGGTTCTTCACGTTGTGCAGATGTAGATGCCACTGGTTCTTCACGTTCTGCAGATGTAGATGCCACTGGTTCTTCACGTTGTGCAGATGTAGATGCCACTGGTTCTTCACGTTCTGTAGATGTAGATGCCATTGGTTCTTCACGTTCTGCAGATGTCGATGCCACTGGTTCTTCACGTTCTGTAAATGTAGATGCCATTGGTTCTTCACGTTCTGTAGATGTAGATGCCACTGGTTCTTCACGTTCTACAGATGTAGATGCCACTGGTTCTTCACGTTCTACATATGTAGATGCCACTGGTTCTTCACATTCTACAGATGTAGATGCCACTGGTTCTTCACGTTTTGTAGATGTAGATGCCACTGGTTCTTCACGTTCTGTAGATGTAGATGCCACTGGTTGTTTGCGTTCTGCAGATGTAGATGCCATTGGTTCTTCACGTTCTGCAGATGTAGATGCCACTGGTTCTTCACGTTCTGTAGATGTAGATGCCACTGGTTCTTCACGTTCTGTAGATGTAGATGCCACTGGTTCTTCACGTTTTATAGATGTGGATGCCACCACTGTCATCTATTGTGCGTGGAGGTTGAACTTACGAATCTCGTTCCAAACGGGCAACTGGACAAATGGGACAGGTTATTTGATCATCTCTCAAAGTCCTGAAGTTGAATGTTTCTAAGTGACGCTAGTTGCCCGTACAAACTCGAACGTTTCCCCGCAGCAGCGTCTTTGCATCTGAGTGGCGTTCACGATGAGCTGGGGCTACCTGACACAGCTGCTGGAGGAGGTTCACCGACACTCCACATTCCTGAGCAAGCTGTGGATCACCACCTTCCTCATCTTCCGCATCGTTCTCACGACGGTGGCCGGCGAGTCGATCTACTACGACGAGCAAGGCCGCTTCACGTGCAATACGGCGCAGCCCGGCTGCGAGAACGTTTGCTACGACAGCTTCGCGCCACTATCGCACGTCCGCTTCTGGGTGTTCCAGATCATCGCCGTCGCCACGCCCACCATCCTGTACCTCGGCTTCGCTGTGCATCGCATCACCAGGTACACACGTCCCCGGAGGGAGTGTTTCACAGCGGGGGGGGGAATTTGGATTCTAGACACACGCAGACACACGCAGACACACGCACACACAGACACACGCAGACACACGCACACACAGACACACGCACGCGCACGCAGACACACACACAGACACACGCGGACACACGCACAGACACACACAGACACACGCAGACGGGGCCACACGCAGACACACACAGACACACGCAGACACACACAGACACACGCAGACACACACGCAGACACACACGCACACAGACACACGCAGACACACACAGACACACGCAGACACACACAGACACACGCAGACACACACAGACACATGCAGACACACGCAGACACACGCAGACACACACGCAGACACACACGCAGACACACACAGACACACGCAGACACACATAGACACACGCAGACACACACAGACACACGCAGACACACACAGACACACGCAGACACACACACACGCAGACACACACACAGACACACGCACACGGGGCCACACGCGCACAAAGACAAAAGTCCCCCGCGTAGTCTCCAAAGGCCGTCGGGATAAGTGCTTCTCGCGAGCGGCGCTTCAAAGCCCACGAGGGGGTCTGTGGCCAGAGCCACGCCGGCTGCGTTTGCCTCCCCGGTTGGCGAAGTTCTTGCACGTCGCACCAGGTGCTCACTTGACACTTCAAGCGTCTCTCGGAGGCGACGATCGGGAGTGGGATCCCGGACAGCCCCCGTGTCCGTCTCTGTTGGTCGTCGTGATGTCGCGTTTTGCAGCGAGCGAGCACTTTCACTCGCCCACGACGCTTCACACCGAGCGGTGGGACTTGAACGGCGCCGCCGCCGCCGCTCTCTGCCGTGGTCAGGATCGAGCTAAAGCGAGACCAACGGAACAAGCGGGCCAAGCGAGTCGACCGTGCGGTTGAATGCACGGAGGAGGTGGAGGTGGAGGAGGTGGAGGAGGAGGAGGAGGTGGATGTGGAGGAGGAGGAGGAGGAGGGTGAAGAAGAGAGCAAGCGGGAGCCTTGGCAACACAACGAGCGTTGGAGGATCAAGTCTGACTGGGCTGATGGCGGCCTACACCCTCCAGCTGCTGGCGCGTACGTTGGCCGAGATGGGCTTCCTGGCAGGCCAGTACCTGCTCTACGGCTTTGAGGTGGCCCC